CCAAAAGTTTTCTCTCGTTCATATTTTTATTTAGAAAAAAAAAAAGTTCGAATTTTTTTCGCGTCAAAATTGACCAACCACTATAGAAACTCGCATTTTTTTTCTTTGTACAAGGTGTTAGCGACATCTTTTTCGTATTTATTTGTTTGGTAGGTTTAAAATAGCTAGGTACGGCGCTAATAAATCAGTTTACATAATGGCTCCTACGAAGAGGAAAGAATTCTCACACGACCTACGTGAAGTCGTAATAAAACGCTATCTTAATGGTGATTCTGAACGGGACATAGCTCGAGACTTATTAATCTCACGTAATACCGTTCATTATATGATTGCGAAATATAAATCAACGAAATGTATTGGAAATTTGATAGGTCGAGGACGAAAACGGAAGACAACAGCCCATGTTGACCGTGTCATTCAGCGTAAAATCAAAACCAATCGTCGAAAATCGGCTATGGCTGTCAAAATTGAACTTCAAACTGAGCTCAACATAACTGTTTCTGAATCAACGATTAGTCGGCGAGCTCATGAAATCGGTTTATATGGTCGTGTAGCTCGTAAGAAACCATTGGTAACTAAAGCTAACCGTGGTTAACGTGTTCAATATGCTCGAAAGTATTGAGAAAAACCTCTTGGCTTTTGGAATAATGTTTTATGGTCTGATGAGAGTAAATTTAACTTATTTGGGTCTGATGGGAAGGTTATGGTATGGAGAACACTAAAGGAAGAATACAATTCAACATGCATAGTGCCAACTGTGAAACATGGAGGCGGAAATGTTAAGTGTTGGGGATGTTTTTCGGCGTCTGGAGTTGGCAATTTAGTATTTATTGATGGGAACATGACTGGGGAGATGTATCGTACTATCCTAGACAATAATTTGCTTCAGTCTGTGGAAAAGCTGAAGATGGATAACGAATGGACCTTTCAACATGATAATGACCCTAAGCATAGGGCGGCTATTGTGAACAATTGGTTGAACCGCAATGGAATTGAGCGACTTGAATGGCCTTCCTTTTCACCGGATTTGAACCCGATTGAACACCTGTGGGATGAAATCGAACGACGGATGAAAAAAGAACAACCAAAGAATGAAAAAGAATTGAAAGAGTCGTTAACTCGTGTGTGGAAGGAAGTTGAGAAGAAGGTCTTGAAAAAATTGGTCGATTCAGTTCCGAATAGACTAAATGAAGTAATTCGTATGAAAGGAGGCCCTACAAGATATTAATTCGATCGAAAAAAAGTATATTCTCACATCTGAAATATCGTTTTTGTGTTTTGGTTTGTAAATTTTTACGCGAAAAAAATTCGAATTTTTTTTTTTTTTCTAAATAAAAATATGAACGAGAGAAAACTTTTGGTTGATACTGATACTAAACATACTATGAGTAGTGGCCTACAACATAGTGAAGGTTTCACGTCTCTAACACCTTTCGTTGGAAAAATAATAATCGAACATTTTTTTTTTCTTAGGTGGTTGGTCAATTTTGACGGCCACTGTATGTGAGAATGAGCCAAATCGGAGAATATCGATTGAGCGCTCTTACTGGGAATCGGTCGTGGCTTAGGTGGAATGGCTCTTAAGTGGAATCGAAATTTTCACTCTTTTCACGTTTTCTCATATGAATTATACTTTTTGGATGTTTACGAAAAGAATTATCGGTCAATAAACATGTTCAAATAAAACGAGTGCTAAATGACGAAGGGGTGAACATTCCGTGCAAAGTGATCGTATTTAAAAGTCACTTTCATCCTCTGAATTTCTTAAAAAGGTTTAATATATGAAAGTCGATTTATGCAAATTCTGATCATGACAATAGTATTGTTCACACACACACAAATAAGATAAGGACAATTTTTGGATTATACCAATTTATTTTTTAAAAAATTGACATTCTGTATAATATAACATGTGTTGTTGTGCTAGTGTCCATAAAATAAAAATGTTTCCTTTCATTATCCACTGCTGCTTTATTCACTAAAATTCACCTAGAACGAAATAGAACGATTTTTGGATGAACAATGAGCGAACTGAAACAACTAAAAACATACGAAATTATAACTTTTTTTTATGTCAATCAACTTGTCAATGATAAGATCTATTTTTGTTAAGTTATTTTCATCATCATTGCTACTTGTGATCTTTTCGCTAACGTAATTTTCGAGTGTTAACATAATATCTCGACTATTCCGCATAAATTTGAAGTATTCATAAAGATTTTCTTGGTGCATTTGCAATCGGCATTGCGCTCGATGTTGAAATTTTCGTATTTCTGGAAGAGAAGAAAATGAAAACGATCAATAAAAGAAATGTTTGTTGAGAAATACGAATGAAAGAAGTAATATACCTGTTGCCGTTTTGAGGACAAAATGCTTGCAGCAAAAATAATCGAGTCGTCCGATTGTATACAGATCATAATCGTAACGATCGTTGAAGTTGCATGACGGTCCCACTTCTGCTGAAGTAGGCGCCACATACTCGTCGGACGAAAATGACCATTCATCTACGAACAACAGTAGAACATTCTTGGATTATATTTCGCTATCAAATGAAGTTTTTACCTCGACTATGTTTATTTGGTCGATTCTAAAAGGAGAAAGGATTTTGCTTTGAATGTATAGTATATGCACGGAAAATAAGCCTTACTTGACGCCTACGACGTTGTACACGTTCTCTTGTATCGCCAATTTCACTTTTACGTTTTTTTGATCTCATTTTGTGGTTATCCGTACTAGTATCTGTACTATCACTGAATGTGACACCACCTAAAAAATATATGAAAATATACTTTATGTCTTCTCAGTTAACTGACCAAAAGGCTTTTTTTTCTTGTTGATGAGTTGAGTGATTTCTTCTCGAAAGTTATCAAGTACCATTAAGTAAGCATTATTCATGATGAGCTTCGATTGACAATCACCTTCATGTTCAAAATAAATCTTAATCGAGTTGGCATCTAATTTTTCAAGTCGACGATCAATGTACTTTTTAAGACTATCAAGATTTTCGACACTATTGAAGGCGATTGGAACGAAGAAATTCAATTCATGACAAACCAAATTAGCGAAGTCTTTGTTAAAGCGTTGTTTGATATATGTCCAAAATAGATCGGTATTCATGTCTAGACTAAGATTAACTTTCTCCTTTGTCACAACGGTTTGCCTAAACGATAAAAGAGTTCTTACCAATGGTTCCATTCGATGAAATCTAAACTTACGTTGTGATCGTTGGTGTCATTTCAGTATAAACAAACACCGAAAAGACAACAGTAGACTGCAGTAGATATCAATCGACTAAAGTGAAGAAAGAATGAACAAGAGCGACGAAGAAAAAAAAATCAATGACAACAACGATAACAAGTAGACAAAGAGATAGTTGTCGATTTTGATTGGATGCGTATCAATGAATAAATATCGATAGATGGAAGTACTTCGATCTTAGCAAAAATTATAGGGTAGGGAGAGGAGAACGCGTTGTTTATTCGTTCTCCTCGCCCTGGGAGTCAGCGGACAAATAAGAGTGAATCATCGAATCAATAACAAATTTGGAACGCACTAATGCACTTCTTAGTGCACCATCGCTGCCAGTTTTTAAAGGAAAAAAATTCAGTTCGACTCCGCATAATTTTCTCTATCGAGTAACATATTTTAAAAGTTCGGCATTTTTTGTCGGTTTTAGAGGAAGCCATCGGTAGCGCATTTGATACTGATTTGCTTAAAATGTATTTTGTGTTGCTCTACCCGCTTAGTAGGGTCTTGCCTTCATTATATCGTTTCCTAAATTACTACAATTGTTTTTATAGATATTTTTTTGATAGAAAATATATATCCAATGGTGCTTCATCGATCTGAAAGTTATCCTATTCGTGGAATTTTTTATTTAATTCGTCATCCATCATTATGGAGACAAATATTTTGCGGCCTTATTGTAATGATTTTAGTATCAATAATAGGATCAATATTATTATTTATATTTGCATTTCCTGTTCAAGCAAATTGTTTATCAGAATATATGCCCGATTGGATAGCATGGATAATAAGTTTTGTTTTAACTTTATTTGAAATCGGTATAACAGTTCTTGTATGTTCATCATTATTTCTTGCATATTACATGAATATTATATTTGATGCTATATGGCGTCAAGAAACAATGACAACTAATCGAGAAGAAATACAATTGACATCATCAACAAGAACTGCTTGTATCAAATCATTTTTAGTATTAATTATATTTCGTGTTGTTCTTGTTGTATTAACATTTCCATTAAATTTAATTCCAATTATTGGAACAATGCTTTTTATTTATATGAATGGTTATTATTATGCATGGTCATTACATTGTCGTTATTTCGATTTAATTGGTTTAAATTTTGCACAAGGTTTGCTCTTCTTCTTTATTGAACTAAAAAATAACAAATATTTCTATTTTTTATTTCATGAAGGAAAACATTTTGTTGAAGAAAATCGATCTGATTATATCCGGTTTGGTATAGTTGCTGTTTCATTTGAAATGATTCCATTTCTAAATATAATAACACCAATAACAAATGTTATTGGTAGTGCTATTTGGGCTTGTGATATTGAACGATTTAAAGAACCATTGAGCCATCCAAGAAGTTATTTATTATCACCTAGTCCAGCTTTAATTGAACAAGGACAAATAGATTATGGTGCAATGAAATATGAAAAAGGTCAAATATCGCCACCAGCTTATCAAGATGTTTTAGAAAACAATATGTACCCATCAGCTCCACCAAATGAAAAACAATAGATTCATATTTCTTTTCTTTTCAATGTTGTTTGTTATAATCTCAGATTTGAAATGATTACATCATTATCAAATTTGAACAGAAGACTGTAATAATAACGATACTCATACTTTCATTTATTCTTATTTCATCTTTTCTCAACAATGATCATATTTTATAAACATAATCAAGTATATTTTCGTTTTCGGTGAACAGTAGCTAAAGCTTTTTTTTTTGGAATATTTTTCATGAATAAAAAAAACTGTCTAAAATTGTCAAATATTAAATCAGAGACATTTATTTAAAATGTGAGATTTGTGAGAAGAAAATATTTTTTTCTTGAACTGAAAAAGATAACAGCTTAATATAAAATGAGCATGAACGAGTTCTAATTGAAAAAGAACTTGATAGTGTAAAAGTATTTTTGCTAATTATTATTTTGTGAAAAATAATGCCTATATTAATAATCAATTCTATGGATATCGAATAATTATTAGCCAGATGAAGTATAAAACAATAAATGCATTAATAGTTGAAGCACTTCTTCGCGTTGTATTACTTAATGAGATTTCTTAACAGTCAAATAATTACTTATGCTTATTAGTTTTAGACAAATTCCTACACCGTTCATTTTTTGTGGAACTCACATATATGTCACAGTTGACATGACAATTTCAGTTGAGATTGGAATGCGCGAAAAAACAATTTTTTGAGAAAAACATTTTTTTATTTTGCTCGTGCTATATCAAATTTATCTATTTATGAAAATTGGAAAAAATTATTACCCTGCTTTTGAATATATCAACACAAAACTAACAGATAGTATTGATTTTATTCAAATTCTACTCATATGAGCCATACTCTAAATAATCTTATCTGTATTAATCATTCGATGATATTGTGAGAATAATTGATAGATATTTTTTTAGATTTCCAGTGTAAAATTTATTTAATTTTTAAAATATTTTTGAAAACTTCTGATCATTTCGATATAAATTTAACAAACTACTCCAAATCCTCGTTGTTATATCGATAAAAAGATCCTTTTGAACGTTTAATATGATAATACGAGAAAAACAAATTTCAGATAAATTCAATGTCCTCATGTTCCCATCATTTAAAAAATAGAGAGTCAATTTATACTTAACAAAAGAATATGAAAACAAATTTTCTAAGACAAATTCAATGAATGATTTAATATCCCCATTCTTCAGAGAAACATGGAAAAATCAATTACATTCATACAAAAAAAGTTATTATTAATTTAACCAAATTTGTTAACGCTCTCATAAGCCCATGAATCGAAAATATTGAAAGACAACCTGCCGAAAGAATCAATACAATAAGTTTTATCTTCACTACTATCAATACTCTAGAGCATTTTCTTCTGATAGAATAAAGTGCGTTGACTAAGTTGGCACAGGCAACTTTCATCAGTCAAGTAGATAATATCGAAAGCGATAAATTTCAAGTGAAAGTTTCTTTATTAATTAAAAAAATGTTGTATTTTCTCCAGTTTATGATTTTTCAATTCATTTAACATTTTTTTATACTGTCTTTGAATTCTCCGATCGATTTCGAGTCTAAATAGTGTTCCATCTGTTCCAATAACATTTTTTGTTCATTGATATTGGCAATTTGGATGTGCATCACGTCATTGCGCACATTTGATAAACGAACGAGTTCATCCAGATTTATTAAACAAAGTGATTGAAGCTCGCGTCGCTTTGCCACAATCTTCGGTGATGGTGGACGATGAACTAAATTAAGAGTTAGACCTAGTCAGACCACGAGATAAAGAGAAGAAACAATTTACCTGATTCTAACGAACTAGGTAAAGTTTGTTTAACTACATTCACAATTTCTGACCATTGAATCTTTGGATAATGACGTCGAATCATTGGTAAAACAATATGATAACGATACAAAAATGACACTTCAAATGCATGTACCCAGGTCGATCAACCTGAGCCGTAAACAGCCGTATCCCTATCATTCACGGTGAAAAACGGCGATCGTATTTTGTAGTCGTTTACTGTTGCCGTAAACGAAGTTATACGATGAAATACGATCGTCGTAAACGAGGATCGTGAAAAATCTCCGTAAACGGTCATCGTAACTAAACGCTAACCTTAAACGACTGTCGAATATCACAGTAAACGGTCGTTTACGNTTCATAAATAAAAAACCTGTTTAAAATTGTCAAATATTAAATCAGAGACATTTATTTAAAATGTGAGATTTGTGAGAAGAAAATATTTTTTTCTTGAACTGAAAAGGATAACAGTTTAATATAACATGAGCATGAACGAGTTCTAATTGATAAAGAACTTCATGGTGTAAAAAGTATTTTTGCTAATTATTATTTCGTGAAAGATAGTCTTTATATTAATCAATTCTATGAATATCAAATGATTATTCGTTAGATGATGTATAAAATAATAAATACATTAATAGTGGACGCATTTCTTTACGTTGTATTATTATTTTTTCTTCGTTAGAAATACATTAGTGTTTGTATTAACACAATGAGATTTCTTAACAATCAACTAATTATAATCATTAGTTTTTTCTTTCAGAATTCTAAAAATGCCTGTTCATGATTATTGTCTAATAGAATTTAATAGAAAAGAAAACATCCCATTCGGCTCATATATCAATAATAAGACGCAAAATATTTTTTCGAGCAAGTTTGTCTTGTTTTCCGCAATACAAAATACAATTAGTATCTCTATCAAAATGAAAACAATATCTACGTCCATTTGACAATATTTTTTCCACTAAAATCTTGTACTGCATTTGAAATATATGGACCTGTACCAATTTCATAGACGCACATAACAGGGCAGTGATCTGATACTGAATATCCTCCAGAACAAAATATATTTTGCAGTGCATTTGCTAAAATCGGACGTGCATACTGATTTTGCATAATCCAATCTAATGTTGTGCCCACTTGAATGTCTTCTTTAGGTTCACTAGGGCGTTGAGGATGGGTGATTGGTGTTGGTAATCGTAATTCAGCAAAGCAATCGACAAAACCAGCTTCGCGTAAAATTCGCCTTGGATGATAATTTTCATTTAAATCACCCATAAACAACACAGCCAGTTGAGGATTGTTGAATTTCGATGTTAAATCTTGTAAAGCAGTGATAGTACGACGTGTTTGTTGTTTACGTAAATTAATATCAGTTTTACGTTCTTCTTCATGACCTTCCCACGTGAAATGTGCAGTCGCTACAAGTAATTCTTTTGTGTTCAGTTGATTTTCTTGTTTGCTGTCATTTTCACTTATTTTCATTACTAATCGTACCCAAAATAAACGTCGCAGCGGTTCCATTATACCAATATCAACCATTCCGTATTCTATCATTTTGAACATATCACAATTCCAATAGATGTTTCCTTCAGATTGCCATCCAAGAAAGTCATCTTGTACAAACACATGTGATGCTAATGATTCAACAATAGTATCATGTAATAATGGATGCAGTTCTTGTACACATAGAATATCAGGCGTAAATGTTGTCAAACATTCAATAATAGGTAAACGACGTTGTGGCCAATTAATAGGATAACCATCTGTTTTACACATATTAAAAGTCATGACCGATATACGAGATGCACACATAATTATAGAAATGCAGTATATGACTTCTAACGCCTGTTCTTAAATTGAGAACGAGAAGACTAGATTTGTCAAAGAAAATGAACACCAAAAAAATATAACAATAGATAATCTTAGCGCAAAACATGGCAATAATAGGATTCAGTTTCTAAATAATAGCAGATGAAGGCAAACTGAAAACTTACACATTATACTTACTATATGTTATATAGAAGTAAACATTTACCTGAAACATATATATATATGAATCAAAATAAGATAAAACATTTAGATAAAGTACAAATATTGATAGAAGATAAAAAAAAAGTATTAATATCGACATTATATGTAAAAGTCGATTTAACTTGAGAACATCGGATCCGTCTTTGACAGATTTATCGTGAACTATTCAAATGAAAATCATGAAGCTTGACCAGTGAATATATATTGAATAGAATAGGACAAATTTTCATACATTCGGAATTCTCAGATACTTCTCTCAGTACGATATCGGGGATACAAGAGTTAAGAAATGAGATCAAGTTTTCCAGTCGCACGCAGTCAGACTTTATTTTTATGATTGAAATATTTTTATTTTCATATAAAAGCATCAAAATAATGAAATTCGTTTTGAATAATATATGCTTGCCAAGATCCAATCTGTAAGATCTTCCTGAAATAATATGAACGTTACATCTATTCTCATTTTATAATATTTTCGTATTAAATAGAAATGAAAATAATCAATCATTATAAAATATGGACTTTTATGTTCAAATCATATTCATAATTGAATTGCTGTCAAATATTAATAAAAAAATTAATATTAATAACAAGGCTTTTCTATTATTGTTTAGTGCTAATACAATCGATTAGCTGATTGTTTTTATGAAATAGACAGAGAAAAATATCCATGATTCCGTTCTTTCATACTAATCAAAGAAAAAAACTTTTCTGTAAAATCTATTTCTAAATAATATCTGATACAATGATTTCAATTATCTGTTAGTCCTTCAATATCAGTTATCATCGTTTTTTCTTTGTTTTTTTGTTAGAAGATTTCATTTTTCTCTTCGTGACAAGTAACGATTCTTTATCATGGTCAACTTCAGCTAAAAGTCTTTTCTATTCATAAATCCAATGATAAACGACTCTTATAAAAGTTCAATCATAAAGAGTCATTTATTGTTCCGTATATGCGTATATAGAAAAGTCCATTTCAATGTGTTTCTGTTTTGTTCATATCTAGTTGACAGGCTTTTGTTATGTAATGTTTAAACAGATTTTGTATTTATTTTTATTAATTTTCACTTCTTTCTATATGTGGTAACATGCATTCATTGATTATTGATTATTTCTATGAATTCGATAATGAAATTGTATGGAACGGAATGTAAATCTAGGTTAAGAATAGTAAATGCAAAAAGTCTTGCGAAATTCTTTTTGTTAGATAAATCTTCAATTATAAATAAAAGAATCAAAGTTATCTCGGCAGAATGAAAATATTCTTTTGAAAGGAGAGAAACTATTTTCTTTGCTTGCTACACAAGATTGTATCTATTGGATTCTTTTTTTATTCTATCAATATGATCATCTCAATCAGTAAGAACAAAGAAGCCTTGATAAATTTTGTTTTTTCTGTTTTTGCATAAAACTAATTTGAAAAGAACTAAGATATGAATTAAAAATTTCATCATATTTTTTTTATCTTATCATCATTATTAAAATTAATTAAAATAAAAAAAACAATTTCTTTTTGAATTAATATATTGAATAAAATAAAAAATAATATTGGTGATCGTTTTTGTTTTGTTATAGTGAATAAAAATCAAAATTCTTAATGAATGAAAATGTTTATCAGTCATATGAATATAAATGAAATGGAAGAAAATTCTATATGGTAATTAAATTAAGCAACGAAATAGGATCCAAGATGATTTCTTGCATAACCACGATTGGTTAACATCGTATGATTACCCTCTAAAATAATAATTATTCATACAAGAAAACATTAACATAACAAAATATCTTTACGGATAGCTTGTTTTGGTTCTGATATATGTTCTTTTCGACCACTTTCAGCAATTCGTAATGGATGATTAAGTTCAGATTGAACTGGAGCTTTATACACAACTCGATTCTTTAGAATACGTCTTTAGAAGAAAAACAGCAAAGAAAATGAGTCGAATACAGAAATATTCTATTGAATTTACCCATGATCATCAGAAACCGCTTCTAATTGAACGCAAGTACGTGCTTTTCCTACAAATGTTTCCCCATGTTGATCATATTGAGTTTTAAGAAGGAAATCAAGCGAATCATGAGGAGCTTTTGGGTCAGTTGTATAAATTTCATGACGACCAGAAGTCAGAGTTGCTGTTGAATACAAACGATTCCATGGTTCATCACGTTGAGCAACATGTGTTTCTTCTTGTTGAAATGGAAGTTTTTTTTGAGCTAGATGACCAGCAAATGTTTCATCGTTTTCAAGACGTGGATATGAAAGAGGATCACGATGATTGACTGCTCGATGAATTGTATGTGTCATATTTACTGGATTGAAATTTTTCTCAAGTTAGCTTTATTTTATATATTTTTTTATGTTAAATACCCATTTACACTTAACAACTAAACTACGTTACTTAACAACGATATAGATCACAAGAACAAAAATAATTTCAGAGATTAACTAAAGATAAATTCTTTATTTCTATCAAAGAAACATAGTTTTAGTTTTAATGATTATAACATATTTTTCGTTAGTTTTTCAATAGAGGGCACTACTAATCAAATGATAAATTGTTCTTTAAAAAAAAGATCTAAATAAATCTACAATCAATGTAGATTACTTTTAAACAATAGTAAAATTCAATAAAGATTATTTTCTTTTTTTATTTATTTGTTTAAGTAGATAAATATCTCATTAAAAATAACGACATAAAAACGGACTTCCTTCAAGAATCAATATTCAGATGCTGATGCATTCATTTAATCCTCATCTTGAGTCAATTTTCAATAGAAAATTTACTTATATTATATGTGGCATTGAACAGAATATTTACTTTCTTTGTTAAATAAAGTTCCATAGAAGAACAATGCCAAAAATAAATTTTAACACGACTATGAATATGTTTTTAAAATTCTTTTTGAATAAAATAAAATAGCTGATCGTCTAGGATTATACATCACTTCAATGAAATCATTATTCAAATATAATAAATTTATTTGAAAAAATTTTCAGTAAAAAAAAATCAATTAAATTTATTTATTTACTATTCTGTTCTATTCTATTTTATTTTGTATAATGAAATGTTTAAATTCTATAATACTATCATTTAATTGAATATTTTTATAATAAAAGAGAGAAGTAAAATATGAAGAAGAGAAATTTTATTTTCTCAAATTAATCCATATTTAGGATATGAAATTCTTGGTATTTTTTTTTATATTAAGAATAAATATTAATGAGAATGGTGCTCTGTTTTTAATTATAAGAATACGAGATTAGTAGATTAATTCAAATTATCTTTACAATAGAAAGATTTCCTTTTTTTGTTCTTCATACCCTCAAGTCTCATTGACATATGACCTTATTTCCTATTTATTTCCATAAGAAAATTAATTAGAACAACTTATTAACGAAGAAAAGACTAAATCTTAAATTAGTCTAATTTTAATTAATATTTGTTTATAAAATAAAATTTTGAAAAATAATTTTTTTCTTCCAATCATACTAATAAAATCTCTTAAATAAAAGCGAAACAAAAAAATTAATTCATTACACTTATCGAGTTGATTCTTAGAGATAAATGGATTCATTGTAAAATAATATTGTTTTTTTCTTTTTTTATTTAAATAATGAAGTGTTCCTTATTTATTATTTTATGTCACGAAATCTTATTTAAGTATAAACATTTTCTTTTCAAGTTTTTTTTTCAAGATCATTTATTATATTATCGAAGTAATATTCAGAGGAAAAACAAAACAAAAAATAGATTAAATTAAATTATCTTTGATAGAAATCTTTTTTTTGTTTTATAAAAAAAAGAGGATTTTCTACTTCCTTTCCTTTTTGTTTTGTTTTCTTGTTCTATGTTGAATAAAAAAGGAAAAAGATGATTTAGTAAGATGATGATGATGATGATGATGATGATAATCAGTTGTTTCTTTTATGGAAATGTGACAACGCTTCTCGTTCATTTAATAAAAGAAACAAAAGTCTTTTTCTTCTTCTTCTTCTTCTTCTTCTTCTTCTTCTTCTTATTGTATTTAGTTTGATGTTGACATCGTTTGATGGTAAGATTCTCGCTTCCATTCGGTCTAAACCTAGCTTCATCAATATATTCATCAGAATACAGAATATAAATGCCGTTTTTATGTTTCATTTTTCTGTTACTATCCATAGAAGCTATTTTAAAATTCAATCCTAGATGCAGAAAAAAACCTTCAGAATTTTTTGTTTTACTTCTTCTTTATCGATAAATATTTTAAATACTTTCTTTACTTAATATTCTTCAGATGTTAAAATGAAACAGAAAAAAACGCAATAAACAATTTTTTAATAAAAATTTATGAGAAAAATAAAAACACATTAAAATGATTGATATATCCTTGAGCAAAATCATTTAATTTAGGTTAAGAGTAAATCGAAATTTTAAAAATGAGATTTGTTTTCTTGTTAACATTTAAATTAACTCTCTGATATAGTTTCTATTATTTGTTCAATGATTTAAGAAAAAGAGAAAAAAAAACGGTTGTTTATTTGGCTGAATATAATTATTATTCTTCCAGTGTGAATAAGGCGAAATAAAATTTGTTATGGATGCATATAAATGACATGGAATGTCTTGAGTTGTCTGGCTGTTCTCTATAGTTCCTCTTATATAAATATAAGAAAAATAAGACTTTGGCTTCCTGTTTGTCTGCATTGCTGTTGAGTATCCATTTTGTCTATTGTCTAGATTTATATTTCATAAGGAATAATATGACATCCTACCTCGTCTATTTCGTATCATTGTTTCCTTTGTTGTTTAATTGCAACAAACTATACAATCATCTATTTTCCTCAACTGTTTTTCTTTTTTCTGTTTCTCTTTTGTCTCCTTTGGGAATTACAACTTAAATAGAACTAATTTAGGATAAAATGAAAGAAAAAAAAAGAAGAAGAAGTCGATGTCAAGAACAGGTAAGAAGTATATTTATATTTAAAAGTAGAAAACGAAATGAAAAAGTCAAATGAATACGTCAAGTTTATTATAGATGAACTGTTATTAAAAAATAAAAATTAAGCTAAAAGTTTAATTAAACATCAATTTGTTAGTTAATATATTTTTAATAGTACCAAGTAAGTTATTTAATCATTTTGTTTTTCTATATTTTTTTATAACAGAAAATCATTGAATAATAAATATGAGTAAAATAAATAATAATTGGTTTATTTAAGATAAAAACTAATGAACATATCAAATAAAATCGAAAAGAATGATAACGATGTTTATCGTTGGTATGCAGATACAATTGTTTATCGTGGTTTTGGTCCATTAATAGCTTGTTTAGGTTTTGTTGGTGGAACGCTTTCTTGTCTTGTTTTTCGTCGAAAAGCTTTAAGAAAAAAGTCGTGTTCGATTTATTTCTTATTTTTGGCTTTAGCTGATCTTTTATGTATGATTTGTTGGCTTGTTCATTTTGTTTTGCCAACTTATAATATTCATATTCTTACACTATCGAATTTTCTCTGTAAAATATTTGTATTTGCTATGTATTTTGCTTTCGATTTGGCTAATTATATATTAACTGCATGGTAAGTATTTTCATTCTTTTTCTTCGTTGTATTTCATTGATATTAAAACGGAAATTCATTTTCTGAAATATTTCATTAAAAGAAAACAAAAATTTCTTGTCTTAGAAAAATAAAAGGTTTCTAATAAAAGAAGAAAAGAAGAGTATTTTAGTTGTTAGAAAAGAAATGTAAAAAGACATTGGTGAAAAATTGATGTTTATCAAAAATGACAAAAATGACTCTTCAGATTTATATTGAAAGGAAACCATTGGCAAATCATGCACAAAAGATCTAATACTCTCTTTTTTATTTTCTTTTTCTTATTCAACCATAGACAATTAACAAAATAGAATAAGCTAATCATTAATAAATTCAACAAAACTTTCAAAAAAATCTATTTTTGATCAATTTAATATTGATATATTTTCTTTTAATTAATTGAAATAAAATCTTAGTGAATTTGTTTTTATCATAAGATTACAAAATCTATAATTGTTGAATTGAATGTTTATTTGATATTTTCAACCGTTTACCATAGATGAATAATATATTTTAAATGATTAAGAAAATTGAATGTTTTTCTGAGAAAAATTTGTTACGTAAAATAAAATTTAGTAAAAAAATCATATATTTAAAAGTCTAGTCGATTTGTATCTTAATGAAATAAAAAACAAAAAACAAAATAGTAGCTAAAATATAGTATTGATTAGTAAATAAATAATTTAATAATTAATAATAATTTAGTTCAATTGATCGTGCTGTAAGTGTTTTATTTCCTGTTAAAAGTCGTAAATTTTGTCGTCGCCAAATGGCTTATGCAATAACATTAATATTAGTTATAGTTGATACATTAATAAATAGTCATTTATTATACGGTTTTGGAGTAACATCAGTCAATTCAACATTAAATGAACGTGTTCCAATTTGTCATCATGGATTCGATTCTAAAACATATCAGAAATTATTTTCTGCATACGATTCTTATGTTGATGTTATTAAAACAAATGTTATTCCATTTGTAATAATGAGTATTTGTAATTTAATAATTATAGTTCGTGTATGTCGATCAAATTCGTCAATTAGTTTAAATAAAGGAAGAAATAATTGTCGAACAACAAGATCAAAACGAAAATATGAAAAGGATCGTCAATTAACATTAATGTTACTTAGTTCGTCATTTGCTTTTCTTGTTCTAACACTTCCAACTGAAATAAATGATATTATTCGATCAAATTCCAACAAAAAAACTGTTACTTTAAAAACTTATTTATTATCAGCTATTCTTCTATCATTAGCACATCTTAACTATGCAGTAAGAGTTTAGTTTTTTGTTTTTATGTTAAATATCTTTTTATTAATTAAATAAAATTACTTTGTTTAGGTCCATTTTTACATCTATACATTAACGGGTGAAGTATTTCGTCAGCAATTAATTAAATTATGGCCAATTAATATAATATGGCCATTTATGATTCGACTTCTTCGATGTAAAAAAAAGAATTCTTCATTAACAATTGAAACAACAAATAATCGAACAAGACAACTTGAAAACAATTTAAATACTGAACTTGATTTATCATTAAATATTTAACAAATCAATTTTATATTTCAATCTCTATTGAAAAGAATTTAATTTGTTTAAATCAGATAGTCGTAAACGTTCAATTGATTTTTGTTAATTGAACTGAAATATTTTATTCGTATATTTATTGATGTATTTATTTTTGAGCAAGAGTTTTTTTCTTCTTCTTAATTTCGAATATAATTATTTGATAATAATTTCAAATTTTTTAATTATTTCACTAAATTTTTATTCTTTGAAATGGCATCAAAAAAATTTTTTTTTTTCATTTCAAATGTATTTTATTATTCAATTAAACAAAACAAAAGATAGAAATCAATGGGTTTAGGACAGTTGGTCACATAGCATAAATAAGAGGAATATGAAGTGCAAAAACAATTGGACATTACTTGTTATTTTATAAATAATTAAACCGAGAACATTGTAGAGAAATCCGAAACATAAGATAACAAAGTGTAACAAGTAAAACAAAGTTTTCAATGGCGAATAAGACAGCAACAAAAAGAAATTATAGAGACAATAAACGTCCAATGCACGTTAGTTGATCATAAATATTAGGATGTGAATTGTCTACCAATTGACAAAGTCGTCTATTGAGCGATTCATATCTTGAGGGTGTGGGTGTGAGTATAGTTGGCAGTGGGTAGGGACGTTTTCTTCTAAACCCATACGCAGACCCACACCCACACCCTCGAGGTCAATTCATTGTATTAGTGTTGCGTGGTTATTATACTCATATTCCTCTTATGTACACTATATGCGACCAACTGTCCGGATTACCTTTCATAGATTTAAAAACAATTTCGGTAATTAACTTAATAAAAATTCCGAATATTTATTTGATTTTGATTATTCATAAAATAGTCGAAACTTAAAAGAAATCTTTTCTTCTCTATTAAATTCATAAGGTTTCATTACGGTATTTATTTACTATAAAAAGAATGCTATTCATTGTTTCTATTTAAATATGCTTTTTAAGAAGATTTATTTAAGAAGCGATATATTTCTAGTTTCAATTATACAACACACATTTCCTTTTCCTCTTGAAAGAAACTATTCATTTTTTTTAACAGCAGTGGCAGAATTCTCACCAAACAAAATTCGAGAATTCTGCTGTTCAATACAAGCAAAGTTCTAGCAGAATTCTTACATTCTGGTTGTGAGAATTCTGCCACCCCTCATTTCGTCACATTGAGTTTGTTTTCTTCACTCGTTAGTCTATTTTACTTGAAATAGATACATAGTTCTTTGAATCATTTTAGATAAATTTCTATGTTTAATATAGATTTTATAGGAATAACTTGACAAATGGAATGAATGGCATCAAGATAAAATTTCATCGTTTAATAAGAAAGATATTGAGATTATAGATTGAGGCAAAATGATTTGCTTATCATTCCGGTAAATGAATTCATAGTCCTTGCGGGCATTAATGTTCTTTCTTTCTGATGATGTCTCGACTAGAAAGAAGAAGAAAAATGTGATTATGGGTTGATTTGTATCATCTTTGTTTAGATTTGATATAGCTAAGGTTGACCTATTCTATTGAAATTATTCGTATTAGCGATAGATTTCATCATTGACTATTCAATCAAGAATATTCTACTAGAACATCGATAGAAACTAAAATAAAGTAAAAGCAAATCCTTTTATTTTATTGATGAGCTTGCCGATTAAATGAATAGATAAATAAGGTATGCATTCAGAGACAGTGACAGAGAAAACTTCTTTTTTCTATGTATTTCATTGTGCAATAGTTAATTATTATTATTATTATTATTATTATTATTATAAGATTAAAAAATATTTCAAATGAAAAGAACGATTAATTTTTTTTTTTTTTTCGAAATTGATACAGATCATAACTAATATAATAAGATATTTTAATGAGCTAGTTGATTGCTCGGCGGATTAGATATTATCTTGAAATTAAATGATCTTATTTTATTTACTTATTTATTTATTAAACTACACGAATTTTCATTCATTTTTATTTCTGTTTATTTTCATCTATTTTAGTTTTATAATTAGTGAAACTAAAAAGATCTATTCAGAATAGAGAGACTTCTCGTCTTCCTAGCGCTATAAAAGAATGAAATATATGATTGAATCATCATTATTGTATAAGGAATTGTCTACTTTTATTATTTATCTATTTATTATCTTCAATAAATCTTTCTATATTATCTCTTCTTTTTTCGGAGGGTGAAATCGAAAAACGAATACTGTAAGGATAACAATATTTTGCTAAGTGTGAATTTCAAATCGAAAAAAAATTTAGGTAAACAAATATCTTTTTTAGTTCCATCTTTTTTAATGGAAAAATTTTTTCTTTTGAATTTTTATGTTAAAAGATAAATAATATGAAGTAAAAAAGAAAGTGTCTCTATTAGAAAGAAAAGTCAACAATAACCTAAATAAGTATTCGATGTTGAGAGTCTTCTTTTCTTTTAGCCAATATTTATAGACATAATTGAAAAGTCCTTCACATTTGTGTACACACTCATTTTTTTAATCAATCAGATTTATTTGTATCATTTATGAAACTCAATAAATGATCATTTCAAACAAGGTTATGAATTTTGGTTTTGCTTTAAAATTTCATCTTAATAAATAATTATATTTTAATTCAAACGAATAACATATTTTTAGTTGCTTTTTATAAAATCATATTTGTCTATTTGAATTTTATATAGAGTCTAATGTTTATTTATGTTTCAAATTGAAAAAAATTCTTTTTTCCTCTTCCCATGAAAATTGCAAAATAAAAATTGAACAAATTTCATTGATGTTTTATTTATTTATTGTGTTCTCTTATGAATAAAATTCAAAGATAAGAAAAGAAATGAACGAAGAAAAAACCATTAATATATTATTGAAGTAAACATAGATTGCACTCGTTTATCAGATTTAAACATTGAATCAAATCATTTATTGTAGTGGTCGAACGTTTTCACATCTTGTTGATAAAAAAACGATAGGTTAGCAAAAAATAATTAAACGAATATTTTTTAATGTTTTTAGATAAAGTTAAAGATTAATGATGAAGATAAATCAAATTTAATATTTAATATTTAAAAATAAAATGGAATTAGAAACCGAAATTCCTATTTGGTTTCATGGAAGAGTCAAATGGATATCGAACTTAACAACTCGTTCAACTTGTTTTGATGTAATTCAAGCTATATTGTCATCATCATCATCATCATTATCATTAGATTATCATTCATCAAAGATAAATGAAGATTATCAATTATATGAATGTTGGCGTGGTATTGAACGACCATTAAAAAGTCGTTGTCGTCTTCTTAAACTATGGAGATCATGGTCTGGGGAATGTCAAAATGTTATCTTAACACTTCGGTCTCGACAAGAACAAACAATTCCAACATATATTCGAATTCGTCAACAAGAAAATAAATTAAATAAATTAAAACGTCAAGTAAAAAAAGTTGATAAACAAATCGAAAAATTGAATTGTTTAAATAAATTAAATGAAAATGATAATAATATTATAACTTATTTAAATGTATCTCATTCAATAATTCGTTTAAATAATGAAATAGACAATAAAAAAAAAGATATTTTACGTTTATCATTTGATATTGAAAATGAAAATAATGAAGATTTTGTTGAAAACGATTTTAAAAATCTTTTATACGATGTTAATCAAACATTAATTTCAAGTAGAAAATTAACTCAATTATCGGATGAACTTGATCAAAAAATAACTACAACTATTGAAGATATTGATCAAAAACTAATTTTATTAGATGAATTAGAATTAGATTATGCATTACAAGATAATATTGATATCGATAGTATTGATGATCAACATGAACAAAATGAACAATTATTTTCTATTAAGCAAATATTTTCTTCACCGAATCCAATAATTCCAATAAAAGCATTAACAGGTTAATAAAATATTTATTTCTTCCATTGTTTTCTAATTTTTTACTTTTAATTTTCGAAAAACAAAACAGTTCAAAGTCGTCCAACGGCAATAGTTGAACCAAGTTTATCAACATTTAAATCAAAAGAATCTCTACCGAAGAGTAAAACATCACCATTATTATTAAACAATCTCCATATAGAAGAAAAATCTTTTAAAAAAACGAATATTAATATGATGTCATCATCATCTATTCGATATAATGATCTGTTTCAATCGTTAAATAATAATGATCGTTGCGATCAAACAGTTATTTCCATTCATTCAAATGATCAACAATTAGTTACACTTGTTTAGTATTTAGTATTTTATTTTAAACAAATTCTTTTCAGTGAATTGTGACTAACGAGATACAATATGAACATTTGTTTTTAAATAACTTTATTTCGTTTTCTTCGTTATAATAAAACAATGTGATTTAGAAAAAACAAAATATTGAAAATACTCATTTGACAATATACAAAACTACTGTAACCTATTTCACTTCATGCTCAATCTGCAAATAAAGTTCTATTATCCGTTTCAAAATAGAAGATACCTTACGAGTTTTTAAATAACTTTTGATACGTAATAGATAGAGAGCTGTGGTTTTCACCATTGGACACATAAATGTTGGGAGCCACATTTGAGTGCAAGAATTTAATTGATTCATAATGGGCCAATCAGGTGAAATCTCAACGGACATTTTGCAAATAATATTTTGAACGCAATTTTGATACTGTTATGGATTCTGTCATGGCCATTCGGGCGAAAAAACTGTTCTCTTTCGATTTAGAGAAACCCCAACTTTCTATCTTATTTAGTTCAGGAGCGATACGGGTTTTACTACGATCCCCGATTTCGATCAATCCGCGTAGAATCGTTCGGATAAACGCCTTAGGAG